GCCTACTTGAGATCTCTGTTTGTCAAATAAATAAATAAAATCTTTTAAAATAAATAAATAAATAAATAAATAAAATTAAGTCCCTTTCTACTAATGCTTTCTAAAAGACTCAAACTAAAGTGTTAGACTCTAAAGATTGTAGATGTTTCAGAAATATAGAACGAAACTTAAATAAGACCAACAGTGGCAATGTTTACAAAACTATCCTTCAGAAAATAGTTTAATGTAAGATATATGAACTTTATGATATGTGACTTTAAAGATTTTCAACTTAGATCCCTCAATTTATAGTCACATCTCATATATGTTATATTTATTACAATTTGACCATCTAGTGGAGGATGAAAGTGAACCACTTTAGAAAAGATATTTTATATATTGAACATACTAGAACTTGAGAAAAAGTCTTTGTGTATTAAAATTAATAGAAGTTAAAAAATATAACAGAACTTAACATAGTCCTTTCACATCCACTCTTAGGTAGTGAAGGGGCAATGGAGAGACAGTTGGATTTGAAAGTAATTTCTGAGATTAAGGTCACTTAATATGATGACGGATTGTGCGAGTACTACCAGTATGTGAGGCAATACTGGGGATAGTTCCCAGGCTCTATTTTGGGTAGTATGGTGGATTGTGAGCAGGACTGACTTCCTCATTGGCTGTTGCCTAGACAGAAAATGGAGAATGATCAGATTTGTACAAAATGGAACTGGGTTCATTTCTGACAATATCAGTTTTAGTTGAGTCTAAGACATTCATCTCCAGGTGAAATGAATGTCTAGCAGCCATGTGGATGCATAGGTCTGGAAATAAGGAGAAATACCTTGGATTGTTTTATATATAACCTATGCAATAATCATTTACATTCATAGAATACATTATATAATAAATGACAGAAACCAGTTATTAAAAAAAGAAATCAGTTACTATGTTTTTAAAATACTATTTATTATTGGTGTCCATATTGTATACACATGGTGTTAGAAAGTCATGAAGCTCTCAGTTAAAAGATCATTGCCAGGTTACAGAAATCGGGAGTGGTACCTTGAATGGAAACTCCCTCATCCATAAACAAAGAGTTTCCTTTGTACTGATTCTACAACTGCAGCTTCTATAAATGGATACTTGTTAAGAAAGTTTTCATTCTAGGTAAGCTAAAACTTCCTATAGTCACTTTATTTTCTCTGAGCTTCCTTTCCAAGTATCCTATGAAAATGGGAATAATGTCCCAAATTTCTAAGCAAAATTTCCCTCCTTAAGGGAATTTTCCATTGTTTCCTGTACAATTTATTGCTGTATTAACAAATTATGCAAAAACTTAATGGCTTAAAACAATATACATTTATTATTTCACAGATTCCATGGATCAGGAATTTGGGTCCTCTCCTTCAAGTTCTCTCAAAAGGCTATAATTAAGGTATTGGCCAGGGATGAGGTTTCATCTTAAAGCTCAACTAGAGCAGGATTGACCCCAAGCTTCAACAGTAGGTCTCAGTTCTCATTGGCTGTTGGCTAGAGGCCAACTTCAGTTCCTTGCCAGGTGGGGCTCTCCTAAACAACAGTTTGACCTATAAAAGAGTGCAAGCCAAAAATGCAATAAAGAGTCTGCTAGCAAGACAAAAGTCACGATATTTTATGACTTAATTGCAGAAATGACGTTTCATCAACAGCTTTGTTTTATTGGTTAGAAAATGTCACTATGTCCAGTCCACACTCAAGGAGAAGGGATCACACAAGGGCACGAATACCAGGACATAAGATCACTGAGACCATCTTAGAAGTCTGCTTATCATACTCACTAATATTTACCAATCTATAAGGTCAAGACAAAAAAAAAAAGAATTAACTCCAATAACTGCTAATTTTTCTGTACAAAGTTATATGATGATATACATGTCTAGGCCCTTTAATTTGTTGGTTTCTTAATGAAAGTAACGAATCATTAAAATGTCTGCTTAGGGCCTCACAAAGGGCTATATAATATGTACTCTAGGATGTTGGGAAATATATACACTTAATTGACAAAGATAGAACAATATATGAAACAAAAAGTGTGTTTCTGTCTAAAGTTACTTGGAAACTCGAGGGGAGACATTTTAAAATGTGCGTTTGTAGCACTAGTCTTCCAACAGTACCTTTTAAAATGACTCTCAAGACTTCACAACATTTTTTTTTTACAATACAAATTTATCAGCATTTGTCAGAGTGTAAATCTTAGAGTACTTTACACTGAACTTACAAAAGTGTCACTGAAGACAAGTATTTCTTATAGTCTGCCAAATTTCTGCCACATTGGAAAATACACAGATGATTGTTTAACACTGTGTGCCACTAGACAGGAATTATATTTCACATCTTAATGAGAAAATACTTTCCCTTAAGCTTAACTTGTTGCATTAAAAAAACTCATTAGCAATTTGGTGATTTTTTAAAAAGATTAATTAATTAAATACCAGCAGTCACAAAGATATTTCCAATTCCATGAAGATCAGAATCCAAAATGAACTTTTAGTATAATAATTTTATCATTTTTTAAAACCCTGATTACTGAAAAAAAGAGAGAGAGAGAGAAACAGTCATAATCCTACCGTCAAGAAATAACCACTATTACTTTTTTTGGTATAGAGGTATAGATCTACATCTAAATCCTTACATGCATAGATGTAGATATATATCCTTTTAGACATTTAAATGTGTATATAATTTTATGACAAATGAGATCATACATTTTTATAATGATATGTGAAATTGTTACAAAACAATGATTAACAGAGCAACTGATTTTCAATCAAGTATTGTCAAACATGCTTCCAGCAAAGTAATCTTAGCAGCAAGTTAAGTGAGAGCAACCCAGAACATAGAACAGCCCTGCTTACATTAATAAAGCTGTTCCCAAATGAATGACCTACAAAACAAGTAAAAAGGGCATCTGATTTGTGCCCTAGTACTTTAGTCATATTATTTTAAAGATTTTATTTATTTATTTGACAGAGATCACAAGTAGGCAGAGAGGCAGGCAGAGCAAGAGGAAGGGAAGCAGGCTCCCTGCTGAGCAGAGAACCTGATGCAGGGCTCAATCCCAGGACCCTGGGAGCATGACCTGAGCGGAAGACAGTGACTTTAACCCACTGAGCCACCCAGGCACCCCTTTAGTCATATTATTTTAATCATTCTTTACTTTCTTGTATCCTTCTACAGCCTTTTTATTCTGTAGGTACCCCTCCTCTTCAAACTCTTTCCCTAGTATCCGAATCTAACTTACTAGGTTCTGATTCACTTATTTGTTCTCCGAACAAATATCACCTCTGATGACTCTGTCTCTGACATGGTAATTAACTTTGTTTCCCTCTTCTATCCAAACTAGTTGGCATAGTTATTGACTTCCTATATCTCTTTTCTCTAGTTTTTCCCACACTATCATTTATGACTGCATGGTTTCAATGGTTACTTCTATCCTGGAAACTATTAAGCCTATCTCACTCTACACTTAACAGCTATAAACCAAACTCATCCACTTCACCTTAACTTACTTCCCACCTCTCCTCTTTCTCCCCTATCATTTCTTTATCCTAGCCAACATCCAGGAATTATCTTCAACTTCTTCCTCCCTTTTTATCCTATCGATCTCTATTAAACAGTGTTTCAAGATGCCTCCTAAATTTGTTCATTCCTTGACACTTCCTTTGCCTTCAACCTAATCCAGGCCAAAATTTTCTCACAACTGGATTTTAGCAACAATGTTCTGAATGGGGTAAGGGTTCATCTGTCTGTATCCCCTTATCTTTCCTTCTAGGCTACTGTTACTGTAACAGTCAGTGAGGCATAAGGAAAGGGGACTTGAGCCTGAAATCAGGAGCCCAAGGGGAAATTCCTTCTCTGTCACTTCAGATGGGACCTTCACATATTTCTTTCCTTCCTCTAGGTCTAGAAGTTTCCTTATTTGCAAAATGACAAGTAGGACTGTCACATGGGCTCTAAGTTCCCTTGGAACTTTTAACAGTTTTCTGTTCTGATGTTTCTTTGCTCCAGGAATAGCAATGACAACTTTCCATATGTTTCCCAGACCTACCCCCATCCTTTACTCTCTCCCCCTCCCCCCTTTCCCACTAAGATCACAACTGTTACTGTTTTCCAGGTTGTACTGTCCCTTACATCCAGATTGCTCAATTCACCATATCCTTAATGAGCTCCAGTCTTCCCACTGTAAATGTCTGTTCCTTGCTCTATTGTTGGTCTCCTTCATTTATATATTACTTGTTTTACAAACATTTTTGAAGTGACTGCTAATGTATAAGACACTTTGCTAGGTCCGGAGAATAGAGAAGTTAAAGACAATCCTTGCCCTCAAATAATTTACCATCTTGTTGCAGAAAATGGGTAACAGATACATAGTAATGTGTTAAGTGCTATGCTAAAGAATTTAATATATCCTAGTTGTTTTGGGGGCAGATTAGAACAACACAACAAGACTGAGTACATAGGAAACCTTTAAAAAGGATGTGCTAATTTCAAGCTGGGTCCTTGAAACTCAAAATGGAAATTAAGAATTGAGAAAATAAGGTGTGTCCTATTGCTACTTTGAGAAGCCATGAGGAGAGGGGTAATTTCTTTTAAACAGGGCATACTGGGCCAAGTGTCAGATTGGAATACTGGAGAATAGCCGGGCAAGAAGCAAGCAGTGAAGCTGATCATGATGAAAGAACTGGAATGTTACCCTAAGGACTTTGGATGTTACCTGAGGAAAGAGTGAAGAATGGACTGTACTTTGGTTCAGACAATGTCCTCCTCCTACTACTGGGTAAAGGTGGTTATTGGGCAAGGAAACATTCAAAACTGGCAAAAGGATAATCCGGTAGGGGGAAACTGTGCCCTGACAAAAACTGTTTAGGCTGCTGTTCGGCTCACTAAACCACTAATATGACCGAGGCTTCACGGCTTCGCCAAGCTAAGTGGCTTCACTCGGACCCGGTCTAACGTCCCGCCGCCGCGTCACAGTGACCCCGCGCCAGGCCACAGCAGAGGGGCTTCCGGAGACATCGCGAGATTGCCCGGAAACCGCGGCCCTGGCAAAAGCGTCTGGGCACCAGGCAACCGCACCAGGGCTGCAAAGGAACCTGGCGCCTAAGAAATTTTACAGACTTGACTTCCAGACTCGGCTCGTCCCGCAAGTGGTGAGGTGCCTACAGGGAAGAGGCGTGGGGACTAAGGAAACCCTAGAGCTACGTTTCTCAAACTTGCCTGCCATTGAGACTTTCTTGGGTCACTGGTTAAAATGAAAAACCCTAAGCCTTATCTCTAGACATCTAGAATTTACAGAAAATCAGTCTGGAAGTTTTTGTATTTTAAACAAATGGCTAGAATCAGGCAAGGGTGGGAAACAGCTCCGGAGGGAGACACGGCTAGAGGGTGGGCGCCGGGCACGAGCGGGATCTGTGAGACGGATATGAGTTTGAAAAGGAAAGCCTGGGAGCCGACCTGGCGATTTAGAGCATTGGGAAGCCAGTGAGCCTGAGGCTCGCTAAGGGAAATATTCAAACTAAATTCGGAAACATCCACTGCCTGTAGCCTGTGGGAACCCCAAGAGATAAATTAAGGCAAAGCGTCCACTAAAATGGATTCTCAGAGCCTATAAAGCAACTCTAAGCTGTTCCCCACTGGCAATCCGGAGAGATAAGAGATACCCTAGGCAGGAGGAATCCCGAAATAACAGGTATCGAGTAATAAAAAATTATGAAAAAGCTGTTTCTCAAACTTTAGAAAATAATGAACCTCTTTTTAAAGAAAAGCAAGGACACCCCACAAGTGTTGACGTAATTATTTTTATTATAATGTTCTAAAATGCGTCCAAACCCTAACTAGGTTCCATTTAAATACCAGGAGCTTATAGTATCTCTAAAGCAAACTACAATACCAATAAAGTTCAAATTAATCTTACATTAACAAGATGAACAGTGGTGTTCTGATGAAACTAAATCCTCTCCTCTGGATTTGACCGCTACAATGCAGGTTCTTTTGAATAAAGTCTGTATCATTGTGTGTTACGGGTTGATTCAGTTATCTCCCTTTCCATATTCAAGCCCCTGGAAAGTTTTCCTATAGCTTGTTGATGAGGTCCATTTGCTTTTCTAATTACCTGAGATAATTAAATTAATTTCTATACAAACACCAGCTTGTGTACCGGAACCCACAGACAAAATCCATTTATAGCAAGGTCATTCATGAGGATTTAGATGATACAAAATTTATCCATTTTAGCCCAGTTTAGAAAACAGAGCCTGAAGCAAAGACTCATATGATAACACTTTTTGGGGGGTTGTAATCTCAGGGAAGCAGGAGAGAAGGAAAAAAGGAATGAGAGAGAGATGGAAGGAGGACAAATATAGCCCAGTATATAACCCAGAAGACGAGAGCTGTCTTCAGGAGACCTTTGAAATGGCTGTGTCTTCTAAAAGTCCACAGGGAAAAGAAGGAAGAAAAAATAATTTGTAGCTTCTGTCCCCCACAGATAAAAATTACCCCATAGGGCATCACCTCCTTTATAGCACAGGGTTGCTTGTGCATGGCCACCTGTACAACAGTTTCCTGCCTCAGCTGTAAGAAAGAAATCCTGGGGTATATAACCACTTTAAGATATGCATTTTCACTACAGTTATCAGTGTAAAAACGATATTTGAAATTTCCAGAAACAGTTCTAAAATTTTAAAATAGTAGCTAAAGAAATCATATTTTTAAAATATTTTAAATATTTCAAATATTTTATAAAATACTTCATTTCTACACACTAGCTCCAGAGAATGTAATTCCTAAAAAAATGTCACTTGCAATATCAACAAAGATATGATCCTTAAAAATGACAAAAAAATTATGCATGGTCTTAATTACAAGAAAACTATGAAACTATTGAAAATCATTAAAGCAGCACTCCTAAAATAGAGAGTCATACCACAGTGATGGAAAAGAAGACTCAATATTAGAGATATGTTAGTGCTTCACAAATTGTTTATAAATTCAATGCAATTCCTAACAAAATCCTGACGGGATTTTTCATGGAATGTGAGAATTTACAATTTTGATTTTAAAATGTGTATGAAAGAGTTAAAGAGGAAAGGATTCGGGGTGCCTGGGTGGCTTATTCATTGGGCATCTATCTGCCTACAGCTCAGGTTATGATCCCAGGATCATGGGAATGAGCCCCAGGTAGGCTCCCTCCCTGCTCAGAGGGGGTCTGCTTCTCCCTCTCCCACTCCCCCTGCTTTGTTCCCTCTTTCGCTGGGTCTCTCTCTGTCAAATAAAATAAAATCTTTTAAAATAAAAATCTTTAAAAAATCTTTAAAAATCTTTAAAATCTTTAAAAAAAAAAGGAAGAGAGGATTCTGGGAATATGGCTGAGTAGGATGCATCTGTTTCTCCACCTACACAACAAATGCACTGATAGAATCTGGTGTAAATATTTTAGAACCTGGTGTCTACTGAAGGCTTATAACTTCCAGGGGAAGACATAGACCATAAACCTCAATAAACTTTGGTCAGTTTCACCTCTACAGCAACTAATCCCCTACACCCAAACCCATAGCAAGAAGATACACAGGGGTTTCTGGAGCACCTTACACACAGCTTGCAGAAGCCAAAATGGGCAAAAGGCACACTAGCCACTAAACATCAAGGATCTGTCCTCTGACCACTGATTGCTGCCTCTGATCACAGCAACGCAGACAAAATGTGCAAAGCAAAACCTAAACATGTCTACAAGAAAAAAAAGGGTCTTTCTCTTAAAATGTGGGTAGCGAAGGAATTACTAAATAAGCCACAAAAAGCATAAAACATGAGCCAAAAAAATGATACATTTAACCACATTAAAAATTTATAGCTTATTTTTTTAGAAAATGCCTTTAAACATAAACTGGAAAAAAAAGGAGAAAAGACAAAGTATAATTGGGGAGTAGATATTTGCTACATATATAATCAAAGAAATACTGGTATCTGAAAAAAATACAGTGTATCTAAAAATTACTTATAAAAACACAACCCATTAGGAAAAATGGACAAAATATAAGAAACCACAATTAACAGAAAAGGAACTCCATATGGTGATAAACAGGAAAAGACCCTCAATCTCTGGTAATTATAGAATACAAATTAAAACACAAGGAGGAGATGAGAATACTGACCTGGCTGTTTTCAAATCCCTTTTTTGCCTTATTTTTACTTATAAAAAAGATCTGAGAAAAACAGAAATAATGAGATATCACTTCACACCCATCAGATTAGCAAAAAGATAGCCAATATTAAGTGCTGACACTGGTACAGAATGCATTGTAAAGAAGAAAGAACTCGGGGCACCTGGGTGGCTCAGTGGTTAAGCCTCTGCCTTCATCTCAGGTCATGATTTCAGGGTTCTGGGATGGAGTCCCACATCGGGCTCTCTGCTCAGCAGTGAGCCTGCTTCCTCCTCTCTCTGCCTGCCTCTCTGCCTACTTGTGGTCTCTCTCTGTCAAATAAATTAAAAAAAAAAAAAAGAAGAAGAAGAAAGAACTCTCTTAACTGCACTAGTAAAACTCCTTTGGAGAACAGTTTGGCAATTAATAGCAAAACTGAAAATGTCCAACCCAGAAATAGCCATTCCCAGTTTTAAACCCTAAAGAAACTCTTGGACGTGTGTTAAAAATGACATGTATATAAGAATCATAAAAGCAACATTGCAAAAGAAGAAAAGAACACCTAAAGATCTATCACTGTAGGAAATAAATTCCTTACAATAGAATGTTACACAGCGAGGGGCGCCTGGGTAGCTCAGTGGGTTAAAGCCTCTGCCTTCGGCTCAGATCACGATCCCAGGGTCCTGGGATGGAGCCCACATCAGGCTCTCTGCTCAGGAGGGAGCCTGCTTCCCACCCCACCCCCCTGCCTGCGTCTCTGCCTACTTGTGATCTCTGTCTGTCAAACAAATAAAATCTTAAAAAAAAAAAAAGAGTTACACAGCGATCCAAATATTCTAGAGCTACACATATCAACTCTGATGATTCTCACAAACAAAACATTAAGCAAAAAAGAAAGTTGGAATCAGAGTAGTGTCACTTATGACTGTAAAAATACATTTTAAAAAGTACTATATATTATTTAAATATACATACATCTGTAGTAAAAGTATAAAGACATGAATATAACTCTAAACTCTAAAAATAAGAGACATCTAACACTAAACTCTAAAAAGAGAATAAAGGTAAAGAAGGGTTCCAATTTTTTTTTTCTTTTTATTTGACAGAGATCACAAGTAGGCAGAGAGGCAGGTGGGGGTAGGGGGTGTGGAGCAGTCTCCCCACTGAGCAGGGAGCCCGAGGCAGGGCTCGATCCCAGGACCCTGAGATCACGACCTGAGCTGAAGGCAGAGGCTTAACCCACTGAGCCACCCAGGTGTCCCCCAAATGTATTTATAATGTTTTATATTTTAAGGTAGACTATAGGTCCATGATTGTGGTGTTCTTTTTATACTTTCATTATGAAGTATTTTTCAGGCAATATTAAAAATGGGATTTTTTTACTTAATTAGAAACTTTGTTCAGAATATTATTGTCATGTTTGAAATTTGATCTGTAAACAATAATCTTAAATTTTGGTTGTAAAATGAATTCATGCAAATTTCAAAAATCTACAAAGATTTATCAATTTATCAATTTTATTCTATAGATTACATTTTGCATTCTGAAGTATAATGGATACAGTCCATATCTTTGAATATTTTATTTATTTTATTATTATTTATTTTATTGTGGGCATTTTATATAATATAGCCCGTGTATTTATATGTCAATGTATGAGAATACAAATTGGAGGCCATCTTCTACTAAATTCATTTTTTTTCTGATGCATTGGTTTCCTGTCCAGAATATGATGCAAACTGAGGTGTTTGGTTGGTGAAATTCCAGATATATAAGAATAATATCACTCAATTTTAAACTGTACTTTAAAAATATAATACATTTTACAAAACTGGGATATTTATCACTTAAATAGCTATACTTCCAGGATGATTGAAAAAAATGGGTTGCTTTAAACCTATGGACTTACATAAAGCAGTATTTTATTGATAGTATGTTCCCCTTATTTAATAACCCTAATGTATTCCAGGTGAAACAGTGAAATAAATAGTATTCACCTTACTTGTGAACAAAACAAATAATAAAACAATAAAATAATAAATAAAATAATAATAATAATGGTGATAGCAAATGTTTATTGACCTGTGTACCAGACACCATGCAGAATATTCTATACATGATTATCTTAGGTAATCTTCATAATATTCCTTGGAAGTAGGTACCATTATTAACCTAATTGTATAATAAACAGAGGTAATATAGCCTCCTGGTGCTTACCACTGGCTATGTTTTTACATAGAATGTACAGAAAGAGAAAGAGTAAACCCACCAAATATACCTCAGCCCAGGCCCTCTGCCTGGTTTGTACTGTGAATGGGGGGACACTAGGGAAAAAAAAACAAAACTGATTTACCCTGCCCAAGATTGCCTGACCAGGGGGCAGTGGAGCCAAAATCTGAACCAGGCAGTCTGAACTGAAAAACACTGCCTTATGTGGACTCTTTGTGGATTACAGTTGTAGTAACATAATAAATTTCAAGGCCAGCTCCATTTTCAAGTATTTTGCACCATTGTCCTATGTACATACTCACAGTTTTTACATGATGTGTTCTGTTTTCAGGGTTTTGAAAATATGATCACCATGGGTACTATGGAAAAAGGAGCCAGAAGACTTGGTTGCATTCTCAACTGCCACTACCTTCAGTAGTTTGAGACAGATCTCTGGGCCTTAGTCTCTTCATATGAGAACATCAGATAATATTTCTTGAGAGGAAAAAAATATTTTAAAAGATGCCCACAGTAACAACTCAGTACTAGAGAGAGGAAAAGATTTAAAAGTAGAAGTGAATGAGCATTGTAAATTTAATTAATTTTGGTGTTTTAAAAACAATTAAGTCTATAAACTTAGAAAATACCTAAGTGCCTTTAAAAATGTCTCCGAAGTAGCTTATCAAATAGTTTTATATAAGAAAATTAAAACATCAGAATAATTTTTCCTAAGTTATCATGTACATAATGTTCCTTTTTTTTTTTTTTAGAAAGTTGGGCATAAAACAATACCTAAACCTGCTTTTGAGATGGTATCAGAACCAAGCTACTGCTGAGAGTTTGATTCAGGGAGAAATCATGGTTCGACTAACCTTGGATCTAATAGCCAAAAATAGCAATCTTAAACCCCGAAAAGAAGAAACCACCTCACGCTACCTGAAGAAAATAACTCATATAAATTTTTCAGACAAAAATATAGATGCAATTGTAAGAATTCTGAAATTATTTCCTATTTTTACATACTTAACAATGTAAAATTTAAAATAGGTGTCAGAAAATTCATTCTTATTACCTATATTTTTATCATACTTACTGTGTTTTGATTAGTATATTGTTTTCACTTTAATTTCTTGCTTTTGATGTTAAAATTATTAAAACTAAGTCTCTATAAAATATACCATCATGATTGTTAAATATATGTGCTAAATATATATGTCCCCCTGAAATATTCTATAGTGTAGCAAACTAGATTTGAAAGTGGATGTTAGGGGCGCCTGGGTGGCTCAGTGGGTTAAAGCCTCTGCCTTGGGCTCAGGTCATGATCCCAGGGTCCTAGGATGGAGCTCTCTGCTCGGGGGGAGCCTGCTTCCTCCTCTCTCTCTCTGCCTTGCCTCTCTGCCTACTTGTGATCTCTGTCTGTCAAATAAATAAATAAAATCTTAAAAAAAAAAAAAAGAAAGTGGATGTTAGAAAATAATTTCAAAGATAATACTTTTTATAATTCCAGTTCCTTGGAATTTGAGTTTTTTCTTTTAAAACAAGATAGCAAGAATTAACTACGCAAATACCGTATTTCAAAACTTTTAACAGTGAAATCTTTTTCACTCATAATTTAACTGGTTATATAAATGGAGATTACATTATAATCTATATCAGACAAGACTGTTTGTTTGAATATACTCTGACACTATATTTTCTCTGTGTTTAGCTAATTCTTGGCTTTTGGGAAACTTTAAAAGGAACAATAACGCTTTTAGGCCATTTGTATTGGTTTCTGTTGTCTACAGTAAAATGCTAAAGACTATAGACAAGAGAAATTTTCTCAGAAATCTAAGATATGTGAGGGCGGGGATGATGTCTGTTTTGTTCACATCACTCTAAAGCTCCCCCTCCAATCCATCTCAGCGGCTAACCCATATTAAGTGCTTAATAAATGTTTATCAAAATGAATGAAAAAAATACCAAAGCCCCAAGCACAACTCTCAATCAAGATATTTTTTTTTTTTTTGCAGAGACTCTACCAAGTTCCTCTTCTGTTTTTCTTTTCAGTTTCTTTTTTTTTTTTTTAATTATTTTTTTTTTGTCAGAGAGAGAGAGAGAGGGTGAGAGCAGACAAGTAGGAGGATGTGTAGGACTCGATCCTAGGACTCTGGGATCTTGACCTGAGCCAAAGGCAGACGTTTAACTGAACCACGAAGGCATCCCTTCTTTCCAGTTTCTTAGTGATTCTTCTCCCCACAAATCCAATTGCCCAGAAAACTCTCTACTTCATCATACCATTACAGACTTGTCTTCTACAGACAGCCTCCATTTAATGTTCTTTTGTCTCCTCACAATCAGTGCTCCTTTGGTTTAGATGATCTTTTTTAGAAGCAAAGCAAACTAGTTAAAGCACAGTTAACCCTGGAGCTATGCAGGAGTTAGGGACACCAACACCCCCACCACATTCCTCAACACCCTATCATCCAACACAATTGAAAGTCCTTGCATTATATGCATACAAAATAAGCTAGAGAAAAGAAAGTGTTATTAAGAAAATCATAAGAAAGATAAGATACATTGCAGTATTGTACAGTATTTATAGAAAAAAGAATCCATGTATAAGTGGACCCATGCAGTTCAAATCCATGTTCTTCAAAGGCTAACTATAATTCAGTTGGGCCACCTGGGTGGCTGGGTGGCTCAGTTGGTTAAGTGCCCCACTCTTAATTTCAGCTCAGGTCGTGATCTCAGGGTCATGAGATTGGGCCCCATGTCAGGGGGATGGAGCCTGGGGATGGAGCCTGCTTGGGATTCTCTCTCTTGCTTTCCCTCTGTCCTTCTCCCCCCACCCCCAACCCTATCACATGCACGTGCACCCATGCTTACTCTCACTCTAAAAAAAAAATTCACACTAAGAATACCTTGTAAACACAATTCCCAAGATGTGGTTATATTTTTAAAATCTTTTTAATAAAAGTTAAGATTTTTTTTTAAGATTTTATTTTTATTTAAAAAAATAATCTCTATGCCTAATGTGGGGCTCGAACTTGCCACTTCAAGGCCAAAAGTTTCAGGCTCCACCAACTAAGCCAGCCAGGCACACCAAGCTGAGGTACTTTTGAGCATAACTTTACTTTATCTCTTGCCTGCTTACTCTAGGCTGACTCTACTACCACATAAGAAATGGCAGACTTAAAAAATATATACCTTTAATTATTTTCTTATCTCAAAAGTAACTGGTGTGAGAAAGCACATTGTGTTTATTAATTCATCAGTGGCTGCCTTTTTTTAAAAAAAATTCTCTTTGTTGAATGTTATAATTTAAGTATAATTTGCTTTTATAGATTATAGTTGACAGCAGACTCAAGAGAAATGAATGTTCTTAACAGTTACTTATCAATAAAAATTTTTCAATCAGAAAAAAAGTAACTGGTGTGCATTTCTATGAAATACATATTAAAAGAAACTGGCCTAATCCCATCATGCAGAGAAGACCACTATTAACATGTGGGTGATGTCCTTCCAGTCTTTTTTCTAGCATGTTTTCATATAATTTTACAATAGTGGGTCATATTGAATGTACTGTTTTCATTTTGAGATCTACAAAATATTGCTAAAGAAACTAAAGGATATCTAATGGTGAAAGAGCATTCCCTTCAATAGCATTATCATAGTTTATTAATCTATTGCTCCTGACTATCTATATGACTTCCCATTTTCAGTATCACAAACATGTTTACTTAAAATCCTAGAGAAAGATTAAGACCTGATTTATAGGAGTGCCTGGGTGGCTCAGTCTGTTAAGCATCTCGGCTTAACTCAGTTTAACTCACACTCAGCAGCAAGTTTTCTTCTCCTTCTCCCTCCACCCCTAAACCCCTCCCCTGCACTCATGCCCTCTCTCTTGCTCTCACTCATTCTCTCTCAAATAAATAAATAAAATTTTTTTTTTAAACCCCGATTTATAATGTTGAAGCAATAATTTGTTAAATGCTTCAACTTCCAGAGGAACCTAACTGCTTGCCCTAGGAAAATCTTTCTTAACAAATACAATTTTATTGATATAGTTACAGAACACAAAATCTAGAACTAATTTTACTATCATTCAAGACTTGTTTTGACTGTGCTAAGAACAGAGAAATACTTTTCTTTTATATTAAACATAAGGAAATTCGCAGAACGGTTAAGTGAAGAACTTTCTTTAAAACAAACTTCTAAATTTTCAGGAGAAATTAAGTATGACCTGTTTTTGTTTTCTTTTAGGAAGACCTCTCTCCTTGCAAAAATCTTAGTGTTTTATATTTGTATGATAACCGTATTAGTCAAATGACTAACTTGAATTACGCTACAAATCTGACTCACTTATACCTACAAAACAATCGTCTTTCATGTATAGAGAACCTCAGGTCATTAAAGAAACTGGAAAAACTGTAAGTGCTTTTATTTTTAAGTAATGTAATTGTTTATAATCATTACAGTAATATGTTTGCATGCGGGCCTTTCCATTATCTGCAGTTGTGCGGAACAGGCCTCAATTTTTATTCTCTTTATAGTATTATTAGTACAAAATAAACTGTTACACATGTAATACTTGGCAATTTGTTTCATTAAGCCTGATACACTTTTCTTTTGCAGGAGGGTGAGTTGTCTTAAGCACTTATAAGGATACCTAAAGCATTCCTAAAGACTCAACTGGTGAAAAAAGTTTCCATGGAAACCAGATGAGCTCTCCTTTCAGAATCACACATCTCAAAGAGGCAGGGTCACAGAGTTGATACTGTTGATTTGATTGTAAAAAGGCATTTACTGCCTATAATGATTTTAATTCAACAATGAAGACTGGTGTATTCATTTTTCCCAGATTGGAAGAATTACCAGTGCTTCTCAAAAATTAGGCCAAGAACCTCAGAATGGGAAGAGAGTAGGGTAGAAAATGCTAATTAAAATGCAGATTGCGGGGTGCCTGCGTGGCTCAGAGGGTTGAGCCTCTGCCTTCGCTCAGACCCTGATCTCAGGGTCCTGGGATGGAGCCCCATGTTGGGTTCTCTGCTCAGCGGGGAGCCTGCTTCCCCCTTCTCTCTCTGCCTACCTGTGATCTCTCTCTATCAAATAAGTAAATAAAATCTTTTAAAAAATGCAGATTGCTGCGTTCTGATCTAGATAGCCAAATGAGAATCTCTGGTGTTAGGCCCCCAAATCTTCCATTTTTAAAACTAATACCCAGGGAGGTAGCCTAGGTGGCTCAGTTGGTTCAGCATCTGCCTTCAGCTCAGGTCATGATCTCAGGGACCTGGGATGGAACCCTGTGTTGGGCTCCCTGCTCAGCAGGAGTCTCTCTCTCCCTCTCCCTCCACCCCCGTCATGTTCTTTCTCACACTCTCTCTGAAATAAATTGTAAAAAGCTTAAAAAAAAAAAAAAAGATCCTTCTACCCAGATGATTCTTCACCTAATATATGAAAGTAATACTGGTAGATCATTTAATAAGGACTATTCTAATTCTCTTACTTTAAAAAAAATAAACTTATTTCTTAGATGAAATTAAGTATAAGAATCATATAAATAAACCTTTCATTGATTCATTACAAAGACGATTCTGAAATTTCCACATATGTAATTTTCACTCAGCTCAGTGATTGTTATGTTTTTGTCATGTTTACAGACCATGATTCTCAGAATGTGTGTTTAAAATTGTTTTATATTTTGCAGGTATCTGGGAGGCAATTACATTGCTGTCATAGAAGGTTTAGAAGGATTAGAAGGACTAAGAGAACTTCATGTTGAGAGTCAGAGGCTTCCCCTTGGAGAAAAGCTTCTGTTTGATCCACGAACTCTTCATTCTTTGGCAGTAAGGCCAATTTGAGTATTCTGACAAAGACTATAGTTATTAACAGTTATAATGGAACAGGAAGGTAACAAAGGTATATCTGAACATTACATGTGCTCTGTATGTTTATATGGCCAGCTGAGAATTTTTTAATTTAAATTCAATTGGCCAACATATAGTACATCATTAGTTTCAAATATGGTGTTCAATAATTTATCAATTGCATATAACACCCCGTGCACATCACATCATGTGTCTCCTTGATGCCCATCTCCCAATTATCCACCCCCCTACCCTCCTTCCCTCCAGCAACCCTTAGTTTGTTTCTCCTTCTCTGATCACTTCCCATTCAGTTTTCCCTCCCTTCCACTATGATCCTCTATGCTGTTTCTTATTTTCTACATGAGTGAAACCTATGATATTGCCTTTCTCTGACTGACTTATTTTGCTCAGCATAATGCCCTCTAGTTCCATCCACATCAATGTGAATGGTATTTGTTCTTTCCAAAGGCTTAGTAATATTCCATTGTGTATGTATGTATGTGTATATATCTATACAGATCTACATATATATATAGATATATATGTATCTGTGTATATATATATATATATGTATGTACATATATATATATATGTATATATATATAATTTTCATCCATTCATCTGTCAATGGACATCTGGGCTCTCTCCAAAGTTTGTTTGGCTATTATGGACATTGCTGTTATGAACATTGGCGTCACTACATTTCTATCTTTGGGGTGAATCCCTAGTAGTGCAATTGCTGGATCGTAGGGTAGCTTTTTAACTTCTTGAGGAAACTCCATACTGTTTTCCAGAATGGCTGCATCAGCTTGCATACCCACCAACAGTGGAAGAGGATGTACCTTTCTCTGCATCCTCATCAACATTTGTTGTTTTCTGACTGACTAATTTTAGCCATTCTGACTGGTGTGAGGTAATATCTCAAGTGTGGTTTGGATTTGTATTTCTCTAATGCTGAGTGATGTTGAACATTTTTTTTCATGTGTCTGTTGGCCATTTGTATGTCTTCTTCAGAGATATGAGAGCTATGTCTGTTCATGTCTCCTGCCCATTTTTTCTGCCCATTTATTTGGTTTTTGAAAAGTTCCTTACAGATTCGAATTTGAGAAGTTCTTTATAGATCTTGGATACTAGCTCTTTATCTGATACGTCATTTGCAAATATCTTTTTCCAGTCTGTAGGTTACCTTTTATTCACTGTTTCCTTTGCTGTGCAAAAGCTTTTTATCTTGATGAAGTCCCAATAACTTTTTTTTGTTTTTATTTCCCTTGCCTTTGAGATGTGTCCTCAAAGAAGTTGCTGGAGCCAAAGTCACAGAGGTTGCTGCCTTTGTTCTCTTCTAGGATCTTGATGGATTCCTGTCTCACATTTAGGTCTTTCATCCATTTTGAGTCTGTTTTAGTGTATGGTGTAAAAAAATTGTCCAGTTTCATTCTTCTGCATGTGGCTATCCAATTTTCTCAGCACCATTTATTGAAAAGACTGTTCTTTTTCCATTGGATATTCTTTCCTGCTTTGTCAAAGATTAGTTGACCATAAAGTTGAGGGTCCATATCCATTTCTGGGTTCTCCATTCTGATCCATTAATCTATGTATCTGTCTTTGTGTCAGTACCCATTACTGTCTTGATGATTTAGCTTTATAATAGAGTTTGAAGCCCAGGATTGTGATGCCACCAGCTTTGGTTTTCTTTTTCAGCACTCCTCTGGCTATTTGGGGTCTCTTCTGGTTCCAAACAGTTGAGCTTTTACTTGAGGGTTAAAATGAATTTTTCTCACATAATTTCTCAGAGATAAAAAGCTATAAAGTGGGAATAATAATGCCTGCCTCTACAGTACTAAAAGGATCAAAAGAAGGTTGTTGAAAGGTTATGTAAGTTTTTAGGTTCTAATTCAAATGTCAATTCATTCATAATTTCTGCCTTGTTGATTATCATGATTCAAAATTTAAAATATTAGGAAAAGGTGTAAGGAAAGAGTCATGCACAATTATTTGGCAAATTTTAAACAACCTAGAGAATCATAATGATGAAATATTTTCTTTCTGGATTCTGATCTGATTGTAGGTTGCACTACATACAGCTCTGCTTCGTTAGAAGCAGGTAGATCTGGGAGTACCAGATATGAATCTCCCACTGTGACCTGACGCCCAGATACATGGTGAAGGTGTCACAATTAGTTGAGAAGCCAGGGGGCGCAAGGGAGGCTTTTGCTAATTCTCAAAATGGGATTTGTTAGGATAGGCTACCTTCAGTTCTGGGGCAAGAGACATAAAGGGAAAATGGTTCTGTGTTTATAGATTTAATTGGCTTTATTTTAGAGGGCCCAGAAAAAGAGGGCAATAAAAGTTTTGTGAACCGAATTTATAAAAATTGAAAAATAGTCCTTTAAATTGGAAAAGAAAGAAGCGATCTTATTTCTATCCTACCCTCTCCCTATCTTCCCCATAGAATCAAGTGTATCTCAGCTCACCTCCACTGACCCAAATAAATTGATCCCTCTATGAGGATGGCTAGTTTTATTACAAACGCCAGTATAAACATTTTGCTTGCTCAATTTTTGCATAGATTCAAGCAGATTCTAAAATTCTAAATATAAGGCATAATTTTTTAAATTCTTAAAAAGTATCAAGAAGTATTTTCTCTAAAGATTAGTTGTGGATGGCTTGGTGGGTCAGCTCAGTCTTGGTAGATATTATTAGGCTATAGATTTTAAGATGGCTTTGGTTTAGTGCTTCTCTACTGTGTATTTATGTCCTCACTAATAGTGATGTTCATACTGCTTGTTAATTAGCTAATTCTTATTTTAAGTGCCTTCTGAACATATGGATTGTCAAGAGAAAACTATAAGAGAGATAAAGATAAAAACTAAACCAGATAATCTCTAAGTTATTTTTCCTATTTCGAAAAATAGACAAAAACTATTTCTTCTTAGGTAAGTACAAATCTTAGTGATATTTAACACAAAAAGATAATTTGCTTAAACTGAAATAACCATTTTTCTACACTCTGTTATCATTTGTTTGTTGGGGCACTTTTTTTGTTTGCTTCTTGATCCCTGGCTTCTTTTTTCTATAAATATCTTTTATATTTTAGAAGAGGAAAATCAGACTTATGAAGGAATTTTAGACAAAAATAGTAAGTCATATCACAATTACTAAAGTCCTTAAAGTTATGTCTGGAAAAAATATGGCAGGAAAACAAAATCTCCATGGCTTTTAATTTTCTTGCCTAAAAAGCAAAATAGCCTGAACTGATACATTTTTCACAAATTAAGATTTCTGGTTACTATATACAGCATTTAATTAGACTATTTATTAATGCTAATTTACTTTTCTTATAGAAATCCCTCTCTATATTGAATATCAGCAATAATAATATTGATGACATAAGAGACCTAGAAATATTGGAGAATCTTAATCAGCTCATAGCAGTTGACAACCAACTTCTGCATGTGAAGGTAATGTAAAGAAAAAATAATTTTAAAGTATTTACATGAAATTGTGAATTAAAAGTAATTATTTTTCTAAATATCTATAAAATTTATTACTTTAAAAACTATTCTGGATTAACTCTAAAACTAGCATATGAATCTCAGCTGCTTACTGTATTTGCACAATTCTGTCCTCTTACCTGTTTTTCTCTTCCATACCCCTATGCCTCCCTCCTCACCAACAGAAAGAGGTTTCTCTGAGAAGGAAATATGTGCTTTTCCTCTCTGTATTATTTTTCCATCAAATGTTTCCCTCTGGAGATTAGACTTCTTACCACTTAACTCTGATCTCCCAATGACTGAATTTCTAGTAACTATGATTAGATCTGAACTCTCTCCTGGCTGCTGCTCCTTGAGCAAGTATCTGGATCTTGAACTTATTCTAATTTGTGCCAGCTATATTCATGACATGTTATATCTTATCATACCATATTCATTCAATTATTTATTCATTCAAATATGTACTGAGCACCTACATGTCTGTCAGACACTGTAGTATTCTGTGTAGTTCAGGGGAAGGAAGGATAAAGTCCTGGGGCTCAAAAAATCCACAGTCAGCAAGTAAGAGAACTACATTGTGATTCTGTTTTCATAAGTATCATGGCAGCACCAACTCAGCCTGGGGCTAGAAAAGGCTTCCTGGAAACAGTCATCTGTAAGCTGAGCCACTGCCATGACCTCAGTTTCTGGTATGGCAATAGGGTGGGCTGGGTATAATTTCTTTACCTGAAGCCATAGGCGCAATGAAGGGCTTTTTCCCCCATAAACAGAGCTCTTGTTTTCAAAACTACTTCCAGACATCTATCCACTGACCTTAAAAAAGTTTCCCCTGACTTGTTTCCAAATTCAGACCTATTACCTGGCTAGTCCCATAACTACTATAAGCAGTAGATAATTATGAAAATATTACACATATTATACTACAAATAAATTCCCCCAAATACCTAAAATGTCACTGAACAATCAGGATGGATATTCAAAATAAAAATAAGGAATAAATAAATAAAAATAAATAAAATAAAATAAAATAAAAATAAGGAATGCTTCCAATAAGGAAGCATGACCCAGTTAAGTCTTGCATCTTACAACATGAAGGATGTAAGAAGTTCATGGGATAAAGTCTACATTCAAAAATATTTTAAGTTTTAGACTGCTCTTCTAGATATTTTCCCCCACTGGGCATTTTGTATTCATCAAAATTATTTAATTTTTTGATGATTTTACAGTATTTGTATGAATATGATTTTGTGGTAGATCAACAGCCTTATATGAAATACACTACACATGCATATGATCCTAATCAAAGTGACAGAGCCTGGAGTCTAAGTTTTTATTAAGTAGAGAAGATTTGTGCTGTGTGTAACATTCCTTATTCATCACATGGAAAATAGAGCGGCCAGTCACAGAAACTCACTTTTCCTGCGGAGAGAAAAGTGGAGAATTCTAGTCTCCCAAATTGTCATCAATTTTAAGTGCAGTTTAAGTATTTTTCCCAAATGTTTTTGTAAGCCAGGTTTTACAACGCAATGCTTGGTAATGAATGGTAAATATATTTTAAAGGCTCTGATTAGTTGTTAATTATAATTACTACCAAGATTCATTTCAGTTATTGTCATTATCCTTAAAGCCTTATGCTATTATGCTTTTTTAAAAAGATTTTATTTATTTATTGAGAGTGAGAGGGAGGAGGGGCAGCTGAAGTGGGAGAGAGAGAAGCTCAAGAAGATGTAGTGCTGAGCATGGAGCCTGAGATTGTGACCTGAGCCGAAATCAAGGTTTGGATGCTTAATCAACTGAGCCACTCAGGAGATCCTCTATTATGCTTTTAACTCTGAACAGAAAATGAAAGTTTGGTAACAGGACAAAAATGCTAGGCTCCAAATGATTCCAAAGGAAGTTTTTCTGAATGACATTAATACCAAGCTATTTCACCTACAGTGATTCTTAAGCTAGGTTACTAATGCATAATCAGGAAAAATGTGTAACCAAAATAAATACTTTCATTACTATTGATTATTCAGCCCAAAGATAAAAGTCTAAATAAACAAATCCTTATATTTTAAGAATGAACTCAATGTTACCTCCTCTGTGTAGTTCTCCCTGAACCCATCCCCATCAAGTTAATCTATTAAAAATATTTATAATATTATACGTGCCAGGCAGTGCTCTATGTTTTCCGAAAACATTCTAGGCACTGAGGATACCATAATCAAGACAGACAGCATCTCTACCCTCAAGGAGCTTACATTAAAATGAGACGGGAGGGAACAGTCAGAAAATAAATAAGCAGAGAAGATCATGAAAAGGGCTATGAAGAAATTAAATAGGATGACATAATGGAAAAGGGGTCAGTAGATATTTTAAATCAGTTTATGAGAAAAATTCCTCTGAGGAAATGACACTTATGCTGAGACCTGAAGAGTGATAAAGAACAAACTGCAAAGAGCTAAGAAAAGAACATACCAAGCATAGGGAACAGAAGATTTAAAGATCCTGAGTATCCGAGGAACAAAAAAGAGGCCAGTTTACTGTGATAAGCATCCCAGTGCCTAGCTCAGTCTCTAACACAGTGTAAGTAATCAATAAATAATTGTTGAATGAATGAAGAGGCAACAGTTAAACGTGAGATTATGATAGGGGTCAGATCATAAAGATCTTTTAAGCCATAGTCATGAATTTTATTTTATTCTAAATGTAATAGAAAGTCACTAAAAGGATTATATTTTTAGAAGATTATCAGTTATGTGATGAATAGGTTGCAAGGGGGCGCCTGGATGGCGCAACTGCCATTGGCCGTCATGATCCTGGGATCCTAGGATCGAGTCCCTGGAGCCTTGCATTGGGATCCCTGCTCAGTGGGGAGTCTGCTTCTCCCCCTGCTCATGCTCTCTCTCACTTGCTCACTCTCTAGTTCAAATAAATAAAATATTTTTTAAAATAAAAATTTAAAAAAAAGAATGTGTTGCAAGAATAACAGCAAAGACATCTGTTGGGAAACTACTGCAAAGGTTAAGAAAAGATGGTTGCTTGGAGATGAAAAGGAGTGGATGGATTAGAGGTATTTTTTTTATTGACCCTATGGAACTTGTTGAGTAGGGTGCACAAGAATAAAGGAAAGAGAAGAATCAAGGATGAACCATTGTTTTTTTGCATGAGGATCTGGGGAGACATGGTAGCCTTTACAAATTGGGAAGTACAAGGGATGGAATAAAAGACTTCCTTCTATTGAAATGTCTACTGGACACTGAAATTGATAGACCAAGTAGACATTTGGAATTCAAGGGAGAAGATAGGAAAATTTGAGAGTCAACAGTATTAACAGGATATTTAAAGCTATGACTCTGGGTGAAAGACAGTAGGAATAGAGAATAGATTCCAATATTTAGAGATCATTTAGATGAAAAGGCACTAGGATAAGTTAATGATGAAGAAGAAGACAAGAAAAAGAAGCTTCAAGAAAGAGGTAATGGCTCCTTGCATTTGATGCTGTTGAGTGGCTGACATGAGGGCAGATAATACGTTGACAGAAATCTACTGGATTTGGCAATAGTGAGATTATATCTGGTCAAGTATCATGGTTGGGTTTTGTTTTGTTTTGTTTTTCATATTTCAGAAATGGAGTACTTTAACAGGGCTTTGCACTTTTTTCTTCTAACCAAAGCCACATGAACCTCTTAGAAATTTCTTTCCATGTTAAGACTTGAAGAACTTGAGGTTTTTCATGAAATAGTTCTCCATACGTGAAATTTCAATATACAACAGGACAAAAATGCTAGACCCGAAATAAGATGAGATGAAGGAAGAAAAAAATAAAAAGATTACCTGGACAGACTACCTTAAAATTAAAGTTACCAGGGACAGGTTTAATTTGTGAAGAAGTTCATCCAGAGAGAGACTGTGGTTGAAAAATCACAGTAGTATTTAAAATAAGAAGAAATTAAATATTCAATACAAAGCTTAAATGACAAAACTGTATGTCTCCAAGAAAGAACAAAAGAGAAAAAATGGAAAATAATCAAGTAAAAAAGAAATTTAAAAAATTAATTCGGGAGATCCAACATATGACAAATAAGAATACAAGAATCAGAAAATAGGGGGGAAAAGGAAATAAAATTATATTTAAAAATAATATAATGGGCTATGATGTATAAACCAAAACAAGAATCAACTCTCTCTCTCTCTCTCTCTCTCTCTCTCTCTCACACACACACACACACACTCGCACACACACCAGAAAGCCAGATAAAATATGTGAAACAACTTTTTCAGTCACTAGACTAGAGGTGCACAGGACTGTGGACCTTAAGAGAAAGAAAACAAACAAGGTGAGCTCTCTAATTATCCCAGCTTTCTGCCTGAAGCCACTTTCCAGACCACAAATGCAGGGAGGGCAATAGCAAACAAGTGCCATGAAAATGTAAATCATAACGGCAGAAAAGTCACTCAAGAAAAAATATCTGGAAATGACATGGAAGATGGAATTAGAAAACAGAACTTTTAAAAAGCTGTTATAGGGACGCCTGGGTGGCTCAGTTGGTTGGACGACTGCCTTCGGCTCAGGTCATGATCCTGGAGTCCCGGGATCGAGTCCCGCATCGGGCTCCCAGCTCCACGGGGAGTCTGCTTCTCCCTCTGACCTTCTTCTCGCTCATGCTCTCTCTCACTGCCTCTCTCTCAAATAAATAAATAAAATCTTTAAAAAAAAAAAAAAAAGCTGTTATAAATATGGTCTAGAATTTAAAGCAAGAACACAAACAGAAGAGAAATGGAAGATGCAAAGAAAAAAAGTAGCTTTTGAAACTGAAAAATGGATCTATAATGAAAAGTTAATTGGATGGCATTCAAAATAGATTAGACACTAAAGAGGGCAATTGTTATGATGAGCACTGGGTATTGTATGTAAGTGCTGAATCACTGAATTCTACTCCAGAAACCAATATTGCACTGTATGTTCACTAACTAAAATT